AATTGGTTGTAAATCGAGGACTACCTTTAATGAAGGTATTGTTCACAATTATACTGATATAACTTTGTCAATATAAAAGGGAAATTACATGGCAGCCATTTGTACGTCAGTTGTCACCTTTTTTAACATCTCTAGCATATGTCAGCTTCTTTTTGTTCCTTTTCAGTCACTCCTGGGTTAATGAAAAAATGTTACAGTCATAATAGTTCAAAGCAATGTGTTCTCCATTTCATTCACTAGCTTGGACTTTTCTGGAAAGGTAAAATTGTAAATATCATTGCTGAGGATAGGATGGATTTTAATATGCTTATTAGAACTGGGAATGTATAATGTACTCTGAGATGAGAACAGCCTGGAGCAGATTATTGTTTGCTTGATCACAGTTCAGTTGAACCTTTACATTGACTTTAGAACACCCAACCAGTAAAGTATTTGCTTCAAGTGTATCCTGTCTTGGCAGGAAGTGAGCCTCATCACCCTTGGATCATTGATTGAGCATTGTGCTTTGCTTTGGCTTGAGAGATATATAATTTGGACATCACTTTAATGCCTGTCATTTCATTCATATATAGATATAGATATGAATAGCTGGTCCAAATTTTATTTTAACAAGCTTTGTGGTTGCATGAATTGAAGATTCTTTGATTTTATTCCAGCATTGTAACCATTACACTACATGATCTTGCAGATGATACTTCTTTACCTAGAGATTACATAACAGTGATATCATACAAATACCTGTTCATTAACATATACATTACTTTGGAATACTCTTTCTATAGTTCATTGGAAGTAGACCTTCATGGATGCACAAATTTATACTTGATGCTTGTAATCTCTGCCCAGTGAGAAGCTGGCCCAACTGCTTCCAGTACAGTCCATTTGCCCTTAAATAGCCTGCTTGGCTCAGTGTGTCATCACTGCCACAAATTACTAAGGATTTGTTTGTCTATAAAGTAGCAACACTGTGCTTAGTAGGCACTAATGTTGTGCCAAAAAGCTGCTTGCATATTCATTTTATATGGGAGGTGGCTTCATTCCTCTGCAATGACTCAGATGTAACAAGGCACATTGGGTTCTTTTTTTTTTTAAAGGATTGAACAAAACTTGCTGCCTTTCACTACAGTAATTGCCAGGAGTTGAAGTGTTTCCATGGGGAGTGCATGTTTGTACTCACATAATATATTATATGAAAATTACCCATTTTGTACTAATTATATTTCAGAATTCTAAATTAGAGTCGTTCTTTTACAAAGATTTTCCGGTTCTATCTTTTGTATCGCATGCTCCAACTGTAAAATTTGTGCATATCTAGATTTAAATCCATCCTTAAACATGGGAAGTTATTAGCTGATATTAAGAGTAGTCACTGTATCTTAGTCCAGTCAATCCTACTTAGTTGTAGTTTTGGGGGAAATTGCACAAGGAAGAGCTATGTGCGTTGCCTTGAGCTTCTGGAGAGAAAATGAGTTAGGAATGCAATATATAAAGACATTCATGTTAATGTTTTTGTAGTAGTTTTATTCTTGCTTCAGTCATTAATTAGACATTGCCTTTTATTGTAAACCGCCCAGTCACTTAGGTGAAATGGGCAGTGTGGAAATCTGATGAATAAATAAATAGGCACCGCAGAACTTGAAATTCTGAAAAGGAGAGTCACGATGGCTGCCAGGCAATTCTAGTATACCTATCGCTTTATCCACTGAACACAGAAGCCAAGCTAATTAAGAGATGTTTTTAAAAATGTCAATCTAGAGACAGAAACTTCTTGATACCACCAAAGCAGGCTGAATCCCTTTTTAATATGACATTCTGTCCAGGAGGAGGTTTGACATGATATGGAAGAAAAAAGAACATTCCATATTTTTTAGAATACAGCATTCCGTTTCTAGATTTTTAATTTACAGCTCCCTTACAGATTACTTAAATTTGTATTGTGGTAATTTCCCGAAATGTGCAGCTATAAAATTTCTTAAAGCAAAAATTAATAAGACTGGCATATTCCTGCACACATTTAGTGCTGTATTTAACTAGCTAAACAGAGTAGTCAATCTTACTCATGCACTGGGTGGTGCCCCATCTCTGCCATTCCATGTTAAATTACCTGGTGAACTATCTTTGGATTATGGAGCAATATATTTGATGGGTAAAGGCTAGCTAACGGCACCTGATGTTTAAGCAGCCTCTGCTATTTTTTTTCCCTAAATTATACCATTGGCAGTAAATTATGAATAATATAGAAGTGTGTACAGGGCTCAAATAGTTGAATATAGCGATGACTATAGGGTGGGTGTGATATGGAACATGTAACAGCCAGTATAAAAGGCTTGGCTGGCAAAGCATGGAAAAATGCTGATTTGGCATGAAGGTATTTCAGAGGACAAGCGGTAGCATGTGGGATATGGGTTTGGCTGGTGATTAATTGAATTTTGTAGGGTGTAGGACAGCAGTTGGAGATAGCATTGATGCTGATGAAGAGGTTTTAGAAGGTAAGATGTTGAACAGTGACAGATTGGACTGAGGTTTTCAGCTAATAGATTCTAATTTTCTCTCTCAAGCATAAACAGCACTGTCCAAATAAAGTATGGTGCAGTCTTTGTATATATGCTGGTTAGGAGTTTTGCCATTTTAAATGTGATGCCTTGAAAAGAATATACACTAGTACAGTATGTAAAGTTATAGCTTTCACAACAAATGACTATAGCAACAATGGTACTCAAAGTAGCTTTTTAAAACCAATAAAAAAGGAAGGATATAATTCACTTTTTCCCCTCCTTCAGTCCCTTAATGTAAATATTAAGAACTCTGTGCCCTCCTGACACGTATATAACCTGCTTGGTCACCCTGAAATAAAATTCTGCAATGCAGTTTAAAAAAAAATTCTTGATCAGATAACTTTTGGAAGTTATCGCCATTAACCAGTGAGATTGAAATATTCTGACAGAGAAGCACATTCTTCTTTTTTCAGTGAGTTGTTTAATAAAACAATATATGTAAAAGTAATAGGTTGTTTTTACAAAAACATATAGACTTGGTTTAATTCTGTTTTAGTTATTCAATTATACTACTCAAGGACACTGACAAATTAGCCAGGATCTGCATTCTGATTTAGCTAGAGTAATTCACAGGTATTTATGCACAAATAAACTTGATCACTTCAGCAATATTAGAAATATTAAATATTGATAAGAACCTCCCAATGCATCCCATAATATCTCTCCAATTAATTGGATGAAATATGCCTTGCTTCAAGTCCTATTACAAAAAACCTCACAACTTTGCAGAACAATGCTGTTGTAACATGCAAAAGGACAAGTGTTCTTAAAAGGAAATGAGGGCTATTCTAAATGGCACATAGCAGTTCATTGTACTGTAAACAGAAACGATTGACTCTGACCAGAAAATATTAGCCAGTGCTAAATACAGATTTCACCAGTCTTGAGCACGTAACCTAAAAAGGCAGTTACTGTTCTAATGCCTGATGTGTCTTGTCTCTAAACCAAAAGAAGTAAGGAATATTTAATGTGCCTATTCTGCAAGATGGCTAATGATACACTGTAGCTATACAAATGGACCAGTATTCTTGATAAACAGCCGTCTTCTGTAAGCTTTAGTCTTCTAATATTAATTAAATTATCCAGCTTGCAATTATGTGCTAGTTGTGAAACAGGAAAAAAACCTAAAGGACATTTAAACCATTTTTTCCCCTTAAATGTATATAGTTGCTGTATAATCTGGTTTTTCTTCAGATTGCACAGATAGATATATAAGAATAAAAATAGTACCGGTAGCTTGATATTTATCCACTTTTTTGAACACCATTAAAACTTCCAACTTTACTAGAAAGCTAATGACTAGTTTTAGTAAAATAAAATGCTCGTGCTCTGGTATTGGTGGTTTGAAATTCTGTACCTTAACATTTTTTCCTAACTGGGTATAACACATGCTTTCATTATAATTGTCTCTCTCTGAAGCCTGCTTCCGACATTGTGGCCTGACTTAGTCCTGATTACTAAGTAACACTTATGTGTATCAGTACAGTACAGCCATCTGAATATCTCATATATCTTTTGTGTATGTCTACTGAAGTGATGGAAATTGATTTTGGAAGAGAACTAAAAGACTGGTGTGTGGGTGTTTGTGTGGATGTTAATCTCAACCCTATATAATAACTTCGTTTGTACTTACAACCTAAGTTGCATTAAAATGTGAACAAATTTGCAGCTGCATGATAGTTGAACTTAAATTTTTCACAAGGTGTTTAAAGCTGTATGGTTGTAGGTCCCTAGTGGAGCACATTTTCTTTGTCCTTAAATCTTGACAATATGGAATATCACTCACCAGTTTTTAAACTAATATTAAACTTATTTCACATTTCAAACTACAACCTCAAATTTATATCTTATCATTTGCGCTACAAGAAAGTTGTAGGAGAATTCCTGACTCTGAAAGTAAAGATGATAAGAGACGGACCAATTATTTATTTTGAACCTGTCAGGGCAGATGCCTCCTTAAGATGGAAGAACAACAAAGTATATGGAAGAACTGTTCATCTGTAACTATGCATAATGAAATCAGGACCAAAACCTGAAATCTACTTAAGATTAATCTAGGTGTCATGCCAAACATTTAGTACAAAGGTGGTCTACAGATTATTGGTAAAGCTAGTTGTTAATCCCTTTCTCCTATACTATTCCTATTTAAAAATTATTCACCTGAGCTGCTATTTATCCCATAAGACAAGTGTGGGAACAGTGATACAACAGTAGATTTGATCATTTCCAGACATTGTATTCAGCTGGGCTCATAGGAATGTCTCACATTTGGCTATTACACTGTGCTTTTTGGCTTGATTTTTGTATTGTCCCTAAAGACACTAAAAACATATTCCCATATTTCAAATTTCCTAGCCTGTGGTTTGTTACATTTCCCATTTGAACTGCTTTCCACACCATTCGTTGCTGTCAACTCGTACCAATTTGCCTCTCCTTGCTTTGCAGGTGGTCCGTAGTCGTCTAGAAAAGCAGGGCATCACTGTCCACAATGTGAGGTTGAATGGCTCAGCAGCTAGCCACGTGTTGCACCAGGACAGCGGTCTGGGGTATAAAGATCTGGATCTCATTTTTGGTGTTGATCTGAAAAGCGAGGATATTTTCCAGCTGGTAAAAGATGTAGTGATGGATTGTCTCCTGGATTTCCTCCCAGAAGGGGTAAACAAAGATAAGATCACTCCCATGACTCTGAAAGAGGCCTATGTGCAGAAGTTGGTGAAAGTGTGCAATGAAACTGACCGCTGGAGCCTTATATCACTGTCAAACAACAGTGGGAAGAATGTGGAACTCAAATTTGTAGACTCTCTCCGGCGGCAGTTCGAATTCAGCGTTGATTCTTTCCAGATCATATTAGACTCACTATTGCTCTTTGGAGAGTGCTCAGAGAATCCAATGTCTGCAAATTTCCACCCTACTGTCACTGGGGAGAGTATGTATGGGGACTTTGAGGAGGCGATTGATCACCTGAGGAACCGAATTATAGCTACTAGGAATCCAGAGGAAATCAGAGGAGGTGGGCTTCTGAAGTACTGCAACCTCCTGGTGAGGGGATTTCAAGCCAAATCAGAAGTTGACATGAAAGCCTTGCAGAGGTACATGTGTTCAAGGTTTTTTATAGACTTTCCTGACATCGGGGAACAGCAACGAAAGCTGGAGTCTTACCTCCAAAGCCACTTTGTAGGAATGGAAAGCAAAAGGTACGATTGCCTGATGACCTTACACAGAGTGGTAAATGAGAGTACGGTGTGCCTGATGGGACATGAAAGACGACAGACGCTGAACCTCATTGCCATGTTGGCCCTCCGGGTCCTGGCTGAGCGGAACATAATTCCAACTGTCACAAATGTGACTTGTTATTATCAGCCAGCACCATACATGGGGGAAATAAACGTCAACTATTACGTAACCCACATGCAACCTCTTCTGCCTTGCAGTCACTCCTACCCAACGTGGCTCCCTTGCAGCTGAATGCTGAAAAAAGCTCCAGTCTTTGTCTTCGCAAGGAGCAGAGGCTGTGTGTTCAGAAGAAAAGAAAAGAAAAAATAGGTCTCTTGCGCTGAGTATCTTGCTCTTACATTGGAACTATAAGTCTACTTAATTGTGGGAAATTGTGCAGTGATATGTCTAATTACCAGAAATGTTTACAGGAAGAAAATGCTTGAGTTAATGTATAAGGTGGGTGGAAAGGATTAGGTTAAAAGTAGAGCTGCACTACCTTAAATGCAAGCTGATTTTTTTCTTTCTTTCTTAGTGCAAGAAGCATTATGGGCTGTGCAGACTCTATTTTTTTCTGAACATATTTCAAAGTGTTAATTCCTTTTAAGGGACCAAAGAAATCTTATACAAGTGCCTGCAACCAAAAAAAAAAAAAAAGAAACACTAATTTTTTTTGTAGTGGCAGAAATCTATATTGACAGCTTAGTTATGGATGTTTGCGAGGAATTTTTGGTTTTAGGATCACACATTAATTTATGTCAAGGGAACTGAGGTAGGCAGAGGCTTTCCACAGCAGCCACTGTAACATGGCTTGCTGTTTGATGGACCAGCAGCACTGATTAACAGTTGGAGCAGAGCTGGGATGGGGAACTAAATGGGGGTTCAATTTATAATGATAGAGAATTTTTAATGTGATGGATTATGTGCCCTCATTGCCAAGGCTACCAGAGGAAATGGGAACTACCCTAAATTATTATTCAATTTAATGTGCAGTGCCAAAACCCTAATATTTTAATTCCTCTTAAAGGAAAGCCTGTAGATCAGTATTTTGCTGTGTGGATCAATATATCTTTTTCATGCAAGGAGCAGTTATTTCCAGGCTTTTATAGCCTCTAGGACTGTCAATGGTATTAGAGTAAAAATGAGCTGGACCAAAAACATAAAAAGGTACATGCATAGCCTTTGTCCTGGTTAACAAAAAGAACCAATTAGACCTTGGCCCAGAAGCCCTCAGCTTTGTGTCTGATAGCCCACTACAGTATCTTGAGAATTGTGCTTCTCTTCCTGTTGGGTGTCTGTGACTATCTACTTGATTCCATGTTAGACTAAGGAAACATTTTAACACTGCTTGTTATGGCTGTGCAAAACTTTATAGTCTTAATTTGACAAGGTATCAGTGATTTATTGAATCAAGTCATCAAATTGAAGACTAGGCTTGATGCGTTGAATCAGATGAAGTGATGCAATTTAGATGACTTTTGTTTGAATTGAACTTACAAATTGGATTAACACAATTCACATGTTTGAACTGAAAATTCAAATCTGATTTAGAAAAAAAATACATTTGGATCGGATCTGATTTGCACAGGTCCATTGCCTTGTTTTTGCTTATAAAATTTTGATGTAGAGAAAATTCCTCATGTCTTGCGCTTGCTACAGTAGAATAAGTAACGAGACGAGAGAGCTGTAGACAACTGTACACAGGAAATTGTTGATGTCTTGTCAAATTAGGCTTTGAAATAATTATTTATCCAGCACAATAATTCTTCCTGTATATTTTTTTGGATTGCATAGAAATTTTACAACCTATCAGTTCAGATTAGTTTATACCTTTTAGGAAACTGAGGCAGCAGATACTTTGGCTGTTGGACATACGTGCTCTGTAAGGGATACACAAAATGCTCCATGGTGTATCTTTGAAGGTTGACTTATTTGCTAATCTGTTTTATTTGCAATCAAAACTGTACCTTGTTGGAGCAGACTAAAAGAAANCTTTTAGGAAACTGAGGCAGCAGATACTTTGGCTGTTGGACATACCTGCTCTGTAAGGGATACACAAAATGCTCCATGGTGTATCTTTGAAGGTTGACTTATTTGCTAATCTGTTTTCTTTGCAATCAAAACTGTACCTTGTTGGAGCAGACTAAAAGAAAGGAAAATCAAAAATAAAATATACTTGGATTTTGTCTAGCTAAACACTCTGCCTCTTCCTGAGAGACAATGAGTTGAGATGGTAAGGCAGTTTTTAACTTCTGTTGACTTATTGACCAATACCTACCACAACTTCACTCACTTTGATATTTCTACAAGTTGTACAAGCTAAGAGAAACTTAACAATTCTGATAAATCCAGTGCTGTGTAAATAGAGTTCTTGTATATATAGGTGGCTTTAGATGATCTCATCTCTATACTGGTGAAGACTTCCATGAACATGGCTGCAATGCCTGATGATTAAGAGGGCTGCCCTAGGTTTCCTCTGCCACTTAAAGGAAGGCTTTGCTTTTCCAGATTGTCTCCTTTGACAACCATTTGATAATTCACATTTACAAGGAGAGAAATGGGTTTGCACTAGAACCGCACAGCTGGCTGACAGCAATGTTTTTAGCTAAAATGATGGGTGAAAATTTAAATAGTAAAAATTGTCTCTGCAAAAAAAAAAACAGATCAATGCTGTGTTTGGAGAAAAAAAGTTCTCCCATGTAATCAAGGGCTTCCTGGATGCTTTTTTTTAAAGCACTTTTTGCTGTATGGGGATATGTGGTGAAATATAAGTAGAGGCTGCACCAGATATATCTGCTGTGATACTGCTGTTTTCCTTGTGTGCATGAGAATATCCTGAAGAGTTTGACACTATGAATGGCACTTCTAGACTTGTGTTTGAATGTGTTCTGCAGCTATCAAATCTGTCATGCAATAAGCCTGACATACGAACTTTGGATTCTTTAGAATCTGTCACCATAAATAAATACAATGTATTGAACTCTGTTGGATTTACTTTACTTAATCAAACAAAGGTACCATAGTTTTAGTTTCTAATCCTCAATTCTCTCTTCGGCCTCAAACAAAATGGATCCAAATTAGCCTTCCCCAACCTGTACATTCTAGATAAACTGGACTACAAGGAAAGGCTGTTTTAGGCCACCCAAATTAAAAGGCTCCTGGAATAAAGGTGGCTTTCAAATGGCTATCCTTTCTCCTCCTAAGGGCATAATTGGCTTTTGCAGAGTAGGTGGAATAAAGTAGGGAACGCCATACTGAAGTTTCACTGCAGTCTTCTGCCCTGTAACTTTGCTGATTGCATCTTCTGCTGATGTTTGGATGATATTTGTCCCAGTTCATATATGGTATGATCTGAGGCAGAGGGCTACCACTCTAGGGTGCCAAAAAAAATGGATAGGGAACATTGCTACACAAAAGTCACATCATTTCTGCAAGATACAAAATGATTCACATCTTCCTAATGCAATAGTATTTCAGCATATATTTAAATCACTTTTCAAAACAGTTCTAGGTGGAGAGAGCAAAGAAGAGACTTCTAGGCACATGGGATTTATGCCTTGCCTTCACTACCAGGCCTCTGTTACCTGCTTACTATGCTCTTCTTTCTAGAGTAAATGGAGAGTGTTGCACTGAGGTTTGGAACGCTATACTTCCAAGTATCCTATGTATATAAGGAATTATCTTAACGTGGCTTGTGAATTGCCCAATTAGTGATAATGGATGCTTGCATGGGGGGATAGCCGGGCTCTGTGTATCTTCCAGATACTTTAAACTGCTATTCCAAAAACCATTTGCTATTGTCTAGGCAAGTAAATGAAAGTTAATATCTAAAGCTACTGAAAGACATCAGGTGATCTAGTCTGGTTCTGATTTTATCTCTAGCCTCTTTCCATAGTCTTCATTCTTAGCTTTACTAGCTATGTTCAGAACACTACTCAATACATCCTTCCATTGTGAAATTAATTTGGCCTTTAAATATAATATGATGTAGGTTGGGGTGGGGGGGTCTTGCCAAGTTTGTACCTCTTATGCCATTCCAATAGCACAAACCCTGGTCCTAATCCTGTAATTGGCGGTTGTCTCTGAAACTGACCAGAGCAGCACAAACCACCTGATGTGGTTGGCTTTTTCTATTGTTGGAGCAGATCACTCCTAAACAAAAGGATGCTTGTAGAAAACACTAGTTGTGATCTGAAAGGGGGCTTTCAATGTTTTGAGTGTTTGATCTCTTTAAAAAAAAACCTAATAAAAATCTATTTTCTCAAAAGTTGGTCTGTCATTTTTAATTGAACAGAAAAGCCGATATCAAAATGATGAAGGGCTATGGTCAATATAAAAACCTTACGTCCAGTCTGGTAAGCATCAGATGTATTAAATGTGTATACATGCTCAGCATATTGTTGGGAGAATTTTTAATCTGAGTCTTAACAAATTGGAAGAACGCTCTACATACAGTCCAATACTGGTTTAATAATAACCATAGCCATACATTTAAAAAGTATTGTCAAAATATAGCAAAGGTGTATTTAGAAGATTATAGGTGGGACAGCCACTGAGCAAATTAAATACGATAGTTATTATTTCTACTTTCTTGGGTTTGATATGGCTTTGGGAAATTTGATGAATTGCTTACAGTGCTATAGTGCTGGCATGAAGCCTATTTGTCATGATCTTACCTAGAATATGACCTAGTTTGTACACCAATGAGCCATGATTTACTTAACTACAGTCACAGGATAAATCACAATGGGTGGAATAGGGCTGCCCAATATACTGAGCCAAATTTGAGCAAAATATATGTTCAGGCAAAGAGGCTTGGTGGCTGAGAGTTTAATTTGGATGCTTGCTCCTTCCAATTTTATGGTTCTATAACTTTGTCAACCAGCCCATATTTGTCTTCCGTCATTTATGCAAAATTGCTCTTCACATCCAAGTTACTGGATTATGACTTGTTTACGGGTGAGGCATTTAAATTAAAGTGTAATTTAAAAAAAAAAACCTCAGAAGAAGGAAGGAACCATTGCTAAATCCTGTGCATGGGCTCATTTGTGCTGGGACAGGTTCTTTCTGCCAATAAATATTGAGGAACATAACTTAGTATGACGCTATTCAAAACAGCTTCCCTCTCAGTTCGCATGTTGGTGTGAAGCTGTGTTGAATGTTGGATAGCAGTTTTGATTGTCCATGTGCTTGCTAAGCCTTGGTTGATAAGGTGTAAAAATAAAAACTCTTTAATTACTTTGCAAATTGTATATATCTGAAGGAAACCAATTGCCTCAAAAGGAATATTCTTCTTCTTAAGGTAAGACCTACATCTGTGATGGCGAACCTATGGCACCTGTGGCAGAGGTGGCACGCAGAGCCCTGTCTGCTAGCACATGCGCTGTCGCCCCAGGTCAGATCTCCATGGCGTTTCTTTTGTGAGCTGCTGTTTCCCTGCAAATGACGAAACAGAAGCTCGCGAAAGAAAAAGATCTTACCTCTTGCTGTGTTCTGGGTGTTGGGATGCCCCACCCATGCCCATGCCTGCCTGCACATATGCACCTTTCAGTTTGGCCATGTGCAGATGCACAGTTTGGGTACTCTGTCTCTAAAAGGTTTGCCATCACTGAACTACATGATATCTGATCTGAAGTCATTTTTTTTCTGCTGGACAGAGCAGAGAAGGAACAACACTATGAGCAGAAAACTATTTTTTACCACTAAAGCTGAATTATCTTATTTGACTGCATCCTATATGCATGTTTTCCTACCTTTGGAAATTCTTAGATAAATAACAACCCCAAAACTTGCTCATCAATAGTTTCCCCTCACCTTCCAAGAGCTGCTTAACCATTTACCTTATTTTCAAATTTATTGGGATGGTATATTTGAGGTTGTGTCATTGTGTTTTCTTCCAAATCTCTTCAGTATTTGAGCCCCCCCCAATTTTCCGGGCCCAAAAAAAAAAAACTTGAAAGGTGCCTTCTAGCTGCCTGCAAGGAGTGAAATGTGTTAATAAGCCCCATG